TATATATATATACTTGAGATTTTTATTTGTACATTTCTCCTTGTTAACAGCGTCAGTAAAGATACAGACAGAGGGGCCTGTAACATACATAAGGCCCCTGTGAACAATCAAAAAGCAGGGATGTTCTAGTTATGCATCTTAGCTGGCATTCAGACTAAAAGCTGCCATAAAAAATGCTGTGCTGGGGGAGGTGTTCTACTTCAGGTATCATCAAGATATTGCATACCATCTAGGATGTTCAGCTTGATTAGCAGATGTGTTTGAACACAGTAGCCAAAACATTGCATAGTGGTTTTAAAACACTATGAGACAGGATTTTACTTTCTGTAAAGTTATTATGGTGTCAACTCTTTAATCTTCTGTCTCAGTGACTACAAGGTAAGCAGCAGTTGTTGCTGTTCTTGTTACAAAGTAATCCACCAGGAATGTGTGCTTGCAAGTATTTCACTGGCCAATCAGACAACAGTGCTCTGTGCACCAACAAAAGGTAAGCCTGGTTTAACTTTTTGCTCATGATCTTTTGTTTGTTTGTTTGTTTTTGGCTGATGCCTTCTGAATTAATATCTGTGCTGCATTGTAGGACTGTCCTCATTTAATTCAATGAAACAACCTACGTCAAGTTCAAAATCATCACCTCAAGAACAGCCTATGATTTACTGTATGAGAATTTTTTTAAATGTTATGAGTTCATGGTGTTTGCTGAACCATGTTATTTCCATCTGGCCGAGTGCTGATCTGCTGTCCAAGGGGGTGCTTAACACTGATCTAAACCACTTAATTTAGCGTAAGCACAACAGGAGTCTTGGTGTCTCACTGCATAAATAAACCGTGTGTATGACTACACTAAGTAATGTGGGCCAAAGTTGAACCTTGAAGTTGTTCTGTGAACTGTAACGGATGTTTATGTCGGACAATCTGGGTAATAATCTTATCATCGGCTTTCATTTCCTAACCCTTAATGGTCTGACTGCTGTTTCATGCCAAGTTGGACTTATGTTTTAGCAATGGGGTCCTGTTACCAAGTCAGAGCAAAAACAATTGTGAATACAATGTTTGTTCATTCTGCTGGGAAAATGGGCAAATAAAATAGCAAAAGTAAGACTAAATCTGCAGTGAAACAAAATTATTCTTTTAAATTTTATTTAATAAACAATCGTGTAAGTTGTTTGTACCTTTCCAATTTAATGACAATGACTTTTCTTGTGTTTCTGTATTCAGAACAGGTCACTATTTATGCAGGCCAAAGCACAGATTTGAGGACACAAGACAAGTTTCCATTGTTAATCTCCTTACCTTGTGACTCAGGGGTTTCTATCTGGGAAGCCTGTTTCTTCTCTCTCCTCCTCTGCTTCTCATCCTCCCAGATGGCCTGCAGGCCAGGGTTCCTGCCAATCTGATCTGGACAAAGAGGAGAGTCACAACACAGTGTGTCAACTGTCTTTTAACAACAAAGTCTATTCTGACCAATAAATGCCAGACTCAACCCATAAAAGTCAACCAACAGTTACTGCAGTTCTATTTAACAGTGCAGTTTTAATATACTGTTACAGGGCAAATGGAAAAGTGTGAGTCAGAAGCCACCCTGGACTCTTCTTGCCTTTCTAAGCAGATGCTTAGTGTGGTTTACCCTTCTGTGCCGAGCCTGATCTAATGCAGAAGGACTCTGCATACTACAGCCCTGATCTAAGTACTGTCTTTAACACAACAAACACAAGACTCCAGATCACTGGCTCTGTTGGGGTAGGCTTTCATCCTGACAAGAAAAGTTAAAGATGCACCATAAAACTCTGCACACATGTGGCTTTAAATGCCAGTGGGATTTTACCAGCTGGCCTGTAATGTTGACCAGCATGGCCAATGTGATTGGTTTCAACTGAAGGCAAAAAAAAGGCTAAATATCCAATTCAGGTCATTCAAACTTGATTGTATGTTTAGGAGCAGTGCTCAGTTTGACACTTCCTGTGGATGGAGGTGATTTTCCATACCTGAAGCCACAGCTGTTTGCATTGCAGTTAGGGGGGAGATGGCCAAAAAGATAGGGATATTTGTTTTAGTGAAGCCCAATTTAATGTTATTATAAACATGTGCTGGCTTCTCTTCCACTTCTGATCAAAGAACCTTTTCCACCGTGGCAAGTTCAGTGATCAGCTGTCTTCTACCGTTACTCTAAGATAAAACAAATCCAGATTTGCTACACCTTTAAATATTGAACACAACAATAAAGTGCTCTGACCAGCAGTGCCACATCAATCACCTGAGCCAAACATGACAACTTAATCACAGATGACCTTTCACCATCTCTTTCTTTGTCTCAGTCCTACAGCTGTAGCAGACTGAGCTATAATCCTGAACACTGGTGGAGTGGTGCAGCAGGTGTGCTGTCCTGAGAGAACTTACTTTCGATTTCCAGGCGGTTGAGGACATCCACAGCCACAGCATCAACCTCCAGCTCACAGGTGCTCTGCTTCTCCACCTCATCCAGGAACAGGGAGCTGTAGGCAGTGAATCCATACATAACTGGCTTTTAAAAAGTGGCAATAAAATCCTTCCAGTGACAGCACAGTCTGGTCTATAGAACTGATTCAGGTTATTTATTCAGCTCTTTTTTTAGTTGTTCATTTTTAAGTTTTGATTTTGATATTTAAAACCATAAGAAGTAACTTGTCATTGGCCGAAAATGATACTTTAATTAATAGATTTTGAATATTATGAATCATGGTTTCAAGGACACAGTTGTCTCCCAAACACAGAAACTAGGTCCAACCAGGTAAAATTTTGCCGGTAATACTTTGCCGGCTTCGCGACTCTGGGCTTTGTTCAGACATGATGTCTAGATGTGAAATAGCCAGCAAAATTCTGACTACAGGTGCATATCTTAAAGGGGCTTTAGAATTAGAGATGGTGCAGGTGGGACTAACCAGGGTATGGCATTCTCGTCCCAGTGGACAAATGTGCCCCCCTGGGTGCTGTCGTTGAGCTTGGACGTGCAGGGGCTCTTCCAGGGACTGATCCTTGGGGCACTGCTGGGAGTTCGTCCTTCTGGGTCTTCTGTAAAAAAAAAAAAAAAAGAGTGTTGGTTACAGCTTTTGTCTCAGTTTTGTCTTAGCACAATGCTGTTTTGTTTAAATAGTATGAACCAGAAAAAAATAAAATCCAGTTATAATGAGCCAAAATTATGTTTTAAATAATGCAGCAAACTAGGCTGGCATAGGCAGTTAGAATGAAACACCATCATCTCTCACATAAGGACATTTCAATTAAACTTTATATTTGTATGGCACCAAATCACAAGGATAAGGATAAGGATAATCGCCTTTATTGGCCAAGTATGTTACACACAAGGAATTTGTTTCCGGTACAGAACCAACAACAGAAATCACCTCAAGGCAATTTAACATATTAAAGTCAAAACCTTATACTTTATCAAGGGTAAATTCCACTGGTATTTTTGACACGTTTCAGCTATTTTGGAGGCAGGTGTCCAAACTGTGTAATGAGACTTCACAAGAGTTCTATTCATCTTAAAAAGGCCCATTTTACCAGCCCAGCCCCTTTGATCATTCCTTCATCTGATCCCAGATTAAGAACTTGCTTTCAAGTCCGAGCTCCAGGGCAGAAGCAAACGTGAACAGGTGTACCTATTACTGGGCCATCTTGGTTTCTCTGTGGCACAGGCCACTGGATACTTTCCACTGACTGCATCAGTGTAGAGTTAGATCAAACACGGGAATTCTGCTTTTGTTGGAGGAACGTCGGGTGTGAAGATTTTGGAAAAAGGAACTTTATTAAAGTGTGGAATTTCCTGCCCTGAATCATTAATGTCCTCACATGTGACGGCCACCCTTGATGCTCTCTGTGAGTCAAAAGTGCGAGGTACAACAATGAGACTAAGCGGAGATCAAAGCTGTGAGTAATCAGAGTTGGTTATCTGGGGTTTAGTCTCTACTAGGAGGAACTGGAGCTAGGTTAGTGAAGGTTAGGTTAATCCAAGATCTGAGAAGGAAACCCTCAGTCTGACACTCCCACTATGGGGGTGACTGAACTCCCCACTCAGTGCACACTTTGAACATATTAACAAACACATAGAAAAATGACCAGCTCCTCACTGCTTTGCTATAGCTGATGAGGGATGTTAATTTTGAGCAATACCTCACAGCAGAGCAGCATAAAATACACACATTCAGATGTTGCAGGAGTTACTGAACAGTGAAAGAGACATTCAGATAGAAGCTATATTGGTTATGGATATTTAGTCTGCAGGTCACGCACTAGAAAAAGCAGGAGCTCCAGCTCAATCTGAAACTAAAAGAATCAGAGAATATATGAACATAAAGACACTTTTGGCCACTTTCATAGTTCTATGTTGCAGCTTTTTGCAGCATCAATGTTTCTTAAAGCAGGGTGACCTGGTGGCCTGGGAACTGAGGTGCTGCCCATGAGGTGCAACAGCAGTGGTTTGCATTCAGCCAGGGACTTTGATGCATATTGGTCCCCTTCTCTGCTTGTTACTTGTTATCTCTAGGCTGGTATTAAATGCGTAAAAGTAACTTAAAGCTAGACTTGGTCACTTCCGCCAAAGAACTGGTAATGATGCCATGAGCAGCAATTACTATATACAGGACAACAGCACACCGAATTTCCCCACAGTAATCACAACTGATTTGAGAGAATCTTGTCAGAATAATTTAAGACAAGGCTGAAAATCAGCACTTTGCTGACCTCCTTGTTTGTCTGGCCAATTTTTTTTTTTTTACACTTCACAAACTGACACACAATGTTTGCTGTGCATCGGCTTTATACATTTAAAGATGAAACCACTGGAAACCTTAAAGGCAAAATCCATAAAAGATTTTCATTCTGCAGGGCTGACAGAACACTGAAGGATGTAGCTCCATGTACCTCAGACAAGCACAAGAGAGAGTGTGAAGACTGCAAAAGTGGCAGCTACCAACACCCAAAATTGGCTTCATTATTCTTGGTCTGCCCAAACACCTTTTGATTTTTTTTTTTTTTTTGTCTACAGAGTCTTGTTTTTGTGGAAATGTCTCCGCTGATTTCATGGAGGCAGTGTGGCTACTTTTTTCTTCCTAAGCAGCAATGAAAGGAACAAAATGGCAAAACAAGCCAAAAGGGAAAACAGCGAAAGAGCATGAGTAAAGCAAAAGAGGAAATATGAAAGAAAAGGCAAGATGACCACAAGAGAAAATGTGAAAAGAAGAGGGCAACATGAGGGAGGAAAACAGAGCTAGCTTTCAAAAGAAAACAGAGGCATCCTGAGGCTGAGATGAGATCAGGACTAATTCGATATGACACAAGGAATGGCCGCCATCCCTGCTGAGCCACAGGGAACAGTGCAGTGAGCAAGAAGAAGCTTGGCTCTTCTCACACTGTCCTGCCAAACCCAGCAGTGTGTCCTGTGTCCTGAAGCAGATGAGACAGCGGTAGCAGGCCACTTGCTGACCAACATAGGGAAGTGCCTCGAGACACTGAGAACTACCCCAAAGAAAGACAAGGTAGGAGGTGAAGGCAAATGCCAGATTTAAATCATATTCTTTTGATTAAGATTTAGCTTAGGTGTCTGTATAGTAATTAGATATTAAATTAGATAATACTGATTACCTAGTTGTTTTAAACTAGACTACTGGATGAGTTCTTTAAATGCAAAGGCATTTCTGCCCTCATTCCTTACCTTTGTTCTGCCTCCTGCGGAACTTGACTGCTCCCAAGTTAACCAGGTTCATGCCATACAGGTTGTAGTCTATGAAAAGCTGCAGCAGGTAGGGGATGTGGCCCTCGTGAGGCTGGTAACTCTTATTCATCACTGCTCTACTCTGCAGCAGCTCACACACCCTGCAACAAACAAAAATTATTCCATAAGAAAAAGATATCTAGCCCAAACACTTACTGATTAGAGATAAATATACAAATGTGGCAGTCATTCTCCCTGAGCTACACAAAACACAGATTGCTTTGGATGTAGCTGAGACTGTAGACTGATTACACAATGATTAGCTTCTCCCTATGAAATCAAACAGTCCTACTTGTTAATCTGTAGCTGACAAATGGTCACAATAGGGAACATTATTTTTTGGTTACAAAACATCTAACGATCAAAGGGTCATTCCAGTAATCTTGAAAAATCTCCAGTAATCTAGCATTGTACTTCCTTAAGGTCACATTGATGCTGTGCTTTATGCAAGTAGACTTTTAAATGTAGAGAGCTTTTCAGAAGCACAGACTATATTTTCAGCATTTCCCACACATAGACTTTGTTACATTAAAGAGCCTAAGTAAATTCAGCCACCAGTCTTTATGCTTCTGTGCTCGCAATAGCCGCCCAGTTCTTGCAATACTGCAATGATGCAATACCTCAAGAACGCCTTGAGGGAATTTCTTCAAATTTGGCACAAGTGTCCACTTGGATTCAGGGATGAACTGATTAGATTTTGGTGGTCAAGGTCACTGTGACTCCAAAGGGCTCATTCTAAGAAGGTACAGAGAGTCTGGACCAGAGGTATTAGCAAAACAGGTTTCCAATATTTCCAGGCTTTAACCAGTGCTGCTGAAGCAGCAAGAGAGGATCAGAAAGAGATAGCTGTAGCTAATGAGGAGAGAGAGGAGGAGGAGAGGTGAGGACAGAGGCAGCTAGTGTAGAAGCAACAGGTCATGGCAGCCAACAGCTGTAGAAGCAGAGGGGCCTCATGTCTATTCTTCTGTGCCTTGTAGACAGGACAACAGCTACCGCCACAAACTGAATCTAATTCTGTTGGAAGCACAGCATTCTACAGCTATTTTAATAGAATGAGCAGTTTTGACCATCAAACTGACATTTAAAATTAGTGTGCCCTTTTAATTATATAAAGGTAATCCTTTTCATTTAAATCAGTGTTGAGTCTCCACACAAAAAAGGACAACCTGTTTTAAAGAACCACCTTGCATTTATAGTACTTGCTCTCTGCCAGTTCAGCTGTACAACTCCACTCACATCATCACCACTAACGATGACCAATCTGGCAAATATCCACCGTTTTCCTGTGTGCCTCCATGCACACACAAGCAAACACACACTCAGTCACCAATATGCACAGTCACCAATATGCATACTCAGGAATTGAGTTCAGTTTAGTGCCTGAATACTCAGGAATTGAGTTCAGTTTAGTGAGTTAGTGGAGTCATGCACACACAGTTTGGTGTTCACTTAACATCAAACAACAGGAATCCAGGATGATCCCTATTCATATTAAACTGCATTGATCAGCAGCAACCTTACCTTTTCACCATCTGAGGATTGTACAGATAGATCTTCATAAAGTGCTTCTCCTTGGCATGGTAGCCATAGAAAGGCCTGTAAGAAACCGAACAGATGGGAGACATCTGAATACTGCATGTAAACCTCCAAGGATTCCCTCATCGTATTTTCTGAATTTTAAAAAAGGGGGATATAGTCACGTTTCACACTGCACATCTTTATTATCAGTTAATTTGGAGGTGATGAGTTACTTACATGCCAGAGACCAGCACGACCTTGAAGACATGCTGGGTGCTGGAGGCGGGGTTTCCCATTGCAACGTTAAGAGCCCTATCGATACTGAAGGCCACCTGCCGCAGGTAGCGTTCCGGTTGCTGCCCATAGCCATCGTATGGCACATAAACGTAAGGGAACACACCGTGGAGGTGCAGACACGTCTTCTGACCTGCAACAACAACAACAAATCTATTGAACAAAAGGCTCACAATTTTATCCAGTTCAACCATTGTCCCCTGGGTTTTGAAGCAGAAACCTTTTCATTTTGCATTAATTAAATAATGCTTTCAACAATGGTACACCTTTCTCCATTTAGTCCTAAATTTTTATATTCTTTTACATTTTTGCAGTTTTAATATATTGCTGTGAGAATACTGTTACTTGTATAGAACCTGAGTAATGTGACAACTAAGGCTGGGTATCCTGATGACAAGTACCTGAGTTTCAGGATGTTACATTCATATTTACTTCAAAAGAGCTCATAATTGTTAGATGTAAACACTGCAAGGAATATACACAAGGAATATACACATATTTGCCATAAATAAAAGGTATAGTCAGCGATTCTAATTCATTACATATTTTGTCATATTCACCTAAATTTTCCTCACATTCCTCAGACTGTGTGCGGGGGTAAACCCACATTAACCATAGCTAATGCTACATGCATATGTAGATATGTCAACAGCTCTGGGATTTAAAAAGGGATGAAGACAGACACAGAGGTTGTTCTTTTTCTGCTGGACAGATGAGTCAGTTATTTGCTATGTGCCACTGAAAAACATTATGGTAACCAGGTAATCTTTGTGGTAACGTTACATTAGCAAATTTGGTATTACCCGTGTCACATTAGACTGTCTGCTAAAGCAACTGTTCCTGGGACGTTCAGCTAAATTGCTAGTTTGCAAATGCATGTGGTTGTTCTGACTTCAGCTAGAACAGCTGGAGGCTGTTGTGAGAGAATAGAAGTGGAGTCTGTAGCTGGTTAGCCTCATGTTGTGCCCTAGTTGCTAGTATTCTGACATGTCTCCTTTGGCATCGGCTCTTTCCACAGTCACTAGCATCGCTGCCGTGGTAATGCACGTTAATCAAGTATGAGCGACATGGTTACAAGTTCCTGACTTCGGATTTGCGTTCATGGTGATCAAAATGTAAACAGTCTTTTGCTAGAATCACTGACTATACCTTCAAAAAATAAAATAGTGCCCATCTGGTCTATCCACCACACAGCAGCAGTCACCAGGTTATTTGTTTAGTGACAAAGCTGGTCCCTGGGTCACAACTAGTTGAAAACCCCTGAAGCTGAATAATAGGATTCAAGGAAAATAAAGCAGACATGCCACATCACACTGCAAAGGCCACATATACATTAAGAGAAGTGATTTTTCACTGATATACAGTGTACTGTTGTGATAAGGTGTGGCTCAGGGGAGGAGGTCCTCCCCCAGCCATAAGGTCACTGGTACAGTCACTGGCTTCTACAGTCCACAGAAATCTGAGCTTCTGATTCTCTCCAATCGTCTTGAAGCAGTGTCAGGCTGATGGACAGCTGGACAGGAGAAGGCAGTGTTGAGTGAACCCACATGTGTCTGCACATGCCCAGAGACATGCCTGCCTTCCTAACCATCATCACCTGCAGTGGAGCTTCAACAGAGGAACAAGAAGGGGAGTTCTGGCACTGTTTCTCCACTCCAAACATACAGACACACATTCACAGACAGCTTGCCAATTGTCCAACTATAGACTGTGGTATGACAGATGCTGTGCGTGATGCAATGCCGCAGTCTCCTGGCACAGTTGTTGCAACTGATGGAATCAAAGTGAAGGCTCCAAAAGAGGAAGAAAGATTCCTAGCATCTCTCTGCAGAACAGCAAATGATTGTTGCCAAATGGGAGCAGAGGGTGATGCAAGATGGGATGTAGTGTTGAGAGACAATAAAAACAGGCCTAGTCAGACATCAGCCACTCACCCATGAATGGGGGGGTATTGTCAGATATCTGGATAATAAAATTAAAATTAAAAACCAATTAGCTACCCAGTGAACAAATATCCAAATTTTTGGATATTTCGGGTCCAGCCAACATCTGTGTAGATACAGTACATAGATACTTTATTGATCCTTAGGGAAATTCAGGTAATAAGAATGCCTTCAACTTCTCTACTCTTGGTTGGCCAAAACAGGCCACTGTAGGCATTTTTCCATTGTTCTCAATTAACTTTGTGTACAATTAACCAATTCATGTGGAAAAAATAAATCAATATTGATCAATTTATTTCTTGCAATCACAATGGTAATCCAATCCAGACATGTATATGGGTTTATTCTGTTTAGCCCTACAACTAACAAATTAGATTCATTACTTTTAATCTGCTGACTGTTTATTATTATTTGTTTGATCTATAAAACATTTGAAAACAACAAAAGTTTCCCATCATACTATCATAGGACAAAAGGTGATGTCTTCAAGCATCTTATTTTTTTCTAACTAAATCTAAAAATACAATGTATGACCAAGAAATATCAAAGAATTGTCACATTAGAGAAGATGAAGAGACAGCGGGATCAGTAGTTGTCAGTCTAGTCTGCAGCGTGTTTCTCTCTCTCCACTAAACAAGGTATGTGCAGCTCCACTGTGAGACACACAAAGGCTGACAGTCACTCCTGCAACGAGGACAGCACGCATCTGTTTGTCCTCAGCCTGCCATGTCAACATGGACTCTCACACTCACACACACACACAAGCAGCCAATGCCAGCTTCTGCTACAGTTGCTAGGCAACAGCGCTGGCAAAGCAAAAGCCCCTGACAGACAGCGGGAGAGATGAACAAGTGATTCTTTCCACCCAGCTGGTCAGGCCACCCTAAAGAGAATGTGTGTGTGTGTCTAAAAAAGCAGGACAGAATGAACCAAAAAGAAGAGCAGACAGAAAAATGATGGGATAGAAAATGTGCCTGGAAGAGAAAGAACAAAAACGAGGTGGTGCACTAAGTCAGAAGAATAAAAATAAAAACATAGGGTGTGGATGTGTTTGGGTGTAAGAGGGAGAGAAAGGTAAGCAAAAGAAGTGGAACCTGGATACTGACCATGAAACTGGTCGGTAGACACTCCTGGCTCAGACAGAAAAAAACATCTGCTGCTCCAGATGGATCGCACAGTATTGTGATGCATTAAAACTTAAGCATGGGCAAATAACAAAGAATCTCCTGAAGGTGACATTATGAATGTTATTTACATCACAATGGTACACTGAGGAAATAACACCTAGACTTATCATCATGAGAGTGTCGCATTAATGCAGTACAATGTAAAAACAAATCAAATGTAACAAAGTATAATCCAATCACTGCGAGTCACTGTTTGCTTGCCTTCTTTTTGTGGGCACATGACAGTGAGCATTAAAGCATCCCACAGACGGGTTATACACATCTTTTCACACCTGGGATGCACTAATTCAACCGATTATACATTCTTGATTTCTCATGAACCTTTGATACCTAATCGATGGGCAAACATGGCAGTTGTATCCATTCAAATTAAAGTTACAACACAATAAAATCTGCCAAAATCAAGAGGGTCTGAGGCTGAACTGTACCTCTGAATGTTTCACTGTTCCTGAGCCACATCAGCAGTTTCCTGTCCACTTTCCCACTGAAGGATTTGTGAATGGTGGAGGTGGAGAGCAGCTGTGGCAGCTTCAGTCTTATCTGAGAGGAGCACTTAGACAGAGAACGTCCACTGTTTCAACTGCCTCCCCTCCAGCTCATCTCTGTCTCTGTCCACTTCCTCATAGTAATCAGCACCACAATTCCATGACTCAGCATCCGGCGCAGCAGTGGCCCTGCTCCACCACTGGGTCAGTAAGACAGTCAACCTGAACCTCAGTTAGAAAAGCCAATGAGTGAGTCTGTCAGACAGCATATCAGCCACTTAGCCAAGCAGACTGCTGTTAACCTACTGTTAGTACGCTGGGGCACAGACAGTGACAGGACTTGAGATCTATGCAATCAGACAAAGATGTGGTGCACGCACAAAACATACAGTGTCTACATTCTGAGTGAGTGCACAAGCAGTGCATAGAAGAAAAGCAAATATTGTAGAGAGCAGAATGAACTCAAAGTGTTTAAAGTAGCTTCCAAAAATCTACAATGATACATACAGTCTGTATCATAAACTGGAGACTGAACATGTTCATGAGTTATAAAGCAAAGATGCCCCACCCTGCTTGTTTTGCTGCCTTTATCACTGACAAAACAAGCATTTTTGAAGACACTTGCCTTGGACTCTGGGGCATTCTAATGAACATTTTTTACTCTTTTTTTCCCCTCAGAATTTTATAGGCTAACCAACTAATCACTTCACTGAAAATATCTTACATTGCAGCCCATTTAAAGCCATATTTATGGGCAATTGCCCCCACCAGCACCTTCTAAAGCAGTTCTTCCCATCTCACCAAAACGTTATTCCTCCATTTTATAGAGCTCTAGAGACATGTGTAAAGATGCTAACCCCCCACATTTGTTTTGCATGCTTTTGTGGAAGAAGCAGTTATGGCTCACATGTCATCTGCTTTGTTCCATTTGTGTTCTAGTTCTGGATCTTTAAAATTTTGTCTATGCATAATCAAACACTAGATAAATATTTAAAAAAATCAATTTCCTTCCTCCATACCATTTGAAGGCTATTTTGTCAAACAAACTAATCAGTAGTTTCAGTGTTATTTCTGATACTAGCCAATCTGGTGGGCAAATTGACAGTGGCATCTAAACAGAGGTTGGAGGCAGTGGACACTGAACAAACTGGATGCTTCTGTAGCACATACAGTGAGGAACAGAAGTATTTGAACTCCCTGCGATTTTGCAAGTTCTCCCACTTAGAAATCATGGAGGGGTCTGAAATTCACATTGTAGGTGCATTCCCACTCTGAGAGACAGAATTTTAAAAAAAAATTCAGGAAATCACATTGTATGTTGTATGT